TTCTTCTCTTTTGGCTTTTCTCTTCGTTTCCCTCGGCAAACTCGAAGAAAAACGAAAAACTCGAAAGATGAAAGCTCGGTTTTAAAGCCCAACCACTTGCTGGGCGCGTGTTTCACGGTACGCGTGTATGTACATGAGTGTTCCGAGTTAACTCGCTCTTTACGGTATCTGACTTCCGGATGAGGATATTAAAGCGGTTTGGCTTCGCTCCGTGGAAACGAAAATGACGTCAGAGTGGTCTATCGGCGCACGAATGTCGCGCGATCGTATATCTCCGTACATATTAAAGGGACGCGCGCGTGTAAAGCAAATTTCAGTCCATTAATGCTAAAAGGCTGCTTTTGAGTGTCCGGCTTTTTGTCGATATAATGCACTCGTGTCGTTTGAGCTGGGGCCTTTATATATGCGCTTCGAGAGCGTCCATCCAACGGACGGTGGCGCACACGTGGAAATGAGGCGCTTATTAAATGCCGACTCTGAAAGAGAGGTGTCGCGCCTCTCTGTGAGAAGAAGTTCCCGGCGACTTTTATCGCCGGGAGTTCGTTCCCATTGAACATGTCAAGTGGCGAAGTAACTCCTCTTATTCACAAAGAGACTCGTGAGAGGCCGTAGAAAGCCTCAAAAGCCCTAAAAAGTGTGAACTAATTTCGATTCAATATTCGTCTACATACTAATTTCAATTTTCGTTTACATACTTAAAATCCTATCCTAATATCCTAACAATATTAAAAGTCAACTCGAAAATTTAATTTTGACCAGACAATCATACTTTTTCCATCATTTATCTCTCTCCATAGTCATACAGTTAGTTAACTACCTAATTTGTCTTTTTAGTATTTTGGATTGTATACTGAGAAAAAAATGTTTGGTATTAGTAACTATAATCACATAGGAAAACAATTATTATAAATTATGGTTAAGAAAATTCTTTTTTTTATTAAACTGTACTATAATATTAGTAATAATAATCTTGTATGCATGTTACTATAATACTATCATTTTCGTGTTAAAACAACCAAAAGATATGGTTGGGGTCAAAAGTAACTATAGTTTTAATTAGGCCAAATATTTTTTTTCTCAGTATAGATATGTAGAAATATTGAAAATATTCAATTGAAATACTCGAAATTATTTCATATTTTTTAGAATTTTTGGGGTTTTCTAAGTCGACTCATTTCTGTTAAGAAAGTTCTCTTCAAATTATTTACTAAAAGCGTGTTTTCCAAGTCGCTTAAAAAAATTGTCTTGAAGTCGATCAAAAAGCGCATTTTCACTCGGAAATTGATTTTAATGTAGAAACAAATCGCCGGGGCATCCAGAAGAAATAGTGAGGGATAATTATTATGAAAGAAATTAATATTATCGAAAATTATTATTGACAAAAATTATCTTTAAGAGAAATTATTGTTATGAAGGAAATTATCATTATAGAATCTCAAAGAAATTAGCATATAGATGAAAGATCAGCTGACGTCGCCGCCGGTTGTCGGCCGTCAACGACGAGAGCGGACATTTTTCCGGAGATGCAATTTTCGCGAGAATCTCGACGAGATGAAAACCGGAAGCAGCGCGATACGTTCTGGAAAACAGACGTCGATCAGATTACAATCATACTTGTTCGCGGACGAAAGAACATTTTTAATTAAACAAGAAAGGTGCACTTTAGAAAGCATTCACCGCGAAAGTCGGTAATGATAAGGTCCGAGCGCTGGCACGGGATGTGCGGGTGGCAACGATTCGCCTGCGAATCCCGTCGGATCGACTGATAGGCGGGTATGCGATCGTAAAAATCAAAAGCTACGGCGGTCGCGCGGCTACGAGTTGCCTCGTATTTCATTCAACTCTTAATCGGATTATGCAGAACCGCGCGGAAGGAATTCTTGAACAATCCCCGTACCGTATAAATTACATTTAACGAGGCAAAACGGAATATCGCTGCGCAACTTCGATTGCGTTTTACATTATTACACGTGCTATTTCGCACAGTTTGCCGAGCCATAATAACGGCATTACTGTCGCTTAGCGTGCATCGTTCGTCGTCGTTTTTTTCAGAAGACGGGAACGGCACAATCGTATGCGATCGACCCAATATTTTCTCTTTTTCTCCTTTTCCCTCTCTCCCCCACGCTCTCTTTCTCTTTCCCTCTCTCTCTCTCTCTCTCTCTCTCTCTCTCTTGAAAATCGTTCAAGATCGTTATTTGTTGGACGCGAGACTGGTGGAATATTCTCTCCGCTCTTCGTGCATAAGCTCGCTTACTTTACGGCGACATCGAATTAAAGAAATGATTGATAACGAAAAATGATGAGGAAATCTATTGACACGCGCGCGCGCCAAGTTGCAGCTCTCCTCTATTCATCAAGCCGCCCGCGAAATGCATCAAGCCCCTTGGGAGACTTGGGCCAGCGACATTTATAATTAATTCATCCGGAAGCGAGCTTGAAATTTAAATGCAACCGGTGCTCTATCGATTTCCCGTGCCGCGGGATGCTTTTCGCCGTCGCGATGGCAGCACCAGACGACGACAGCGTTCGCGGGCGAACGCAAACATCGCCAAATTGTTTTCGCTCCCAAACTGGCAGAATATTCTCGGTCTTGACGAACAGGCCGGGAGAATAAAAGACGACCCTAACTAATTTCGAGCGAGCGAAGGAGAATTGTGAAATTTTTCTTACTTTGAAACAGTGATAATTTCATATACCTCAGACAGATTTAAACGTCATCCTCCTAAGAGAAGCATAATTTTTCTTTACAAAAAAAGGAAATCATATCAAGTTCTTAACCCATTAGGGGCCAGTATTCCATTTGTAGCACGTTTCTTTTGTTATTGAGAGTAAAAAATCATTTGATTAATACACAATTGTATTTTTTATGTTTCCAGCGCTTAATTCCCGTTATAAGTCTTCAATAAAAATTATTTCAATATAAATTTGATATTTTAGTGAATAAACAGACTGATTCTTTAATGAAAAATGTTTGTAAGATAATTGTACACACTTCAGGTAGATTTGAACGTAATTTCTCCTGAGAGAAACACAGTTTCTCATCATGTCTGAATATGCGTGATAGCAGTCTAGGCATTATGCAGAGAAGTCTATGGTACGAGCGTTTGGCAGAAAGAAAATGGCGATTGTACACGCAGAGGAGGGACGGTCGCGCGTAATCGCCTCGCTCTGTTTACTCAAGATCGAAAATGAGCGGGACAGAAAAGGAACACAGTAGATTTTCCCGTACTTTTATCGACGCGGCCGATAGCGGGAGCGTCGCTTAACGGGAGCTTATAATTACGTCGGGATCGATGATGAGTGTCGACGGCTTCATGCGCCATTCAATTGAATTGACTCGGCGGTGCTGCGTGAGCTAATTTTGAGGGCCTGTTCATTAAAGCGGCCATCGACAAAATGGAATTTCGATCGCACACGAGAAACGCGCTTCACTAAACATTAGCGCGCCTCTTTTACCTGTTTGCTCTCGCATCGAGAGACTTTCTTTCAAGTGGCGTCACGATATATATATATATATATATATATATATATATATATATATATATATAGAGAGAGAGAGAGAGAGAGAGAGAGGGGAGGCGGCAGGGAGAGGAGAAGAAGGAAAAGAACGAAAAAATATTTATGCAAAGTCGACAATTTGCACACCCTCGATGTTTAATGAATGAAGAGAAAGTAGCGCCTTTGCATTACAAATTTATAGCATCTACAGATTTACACAACATGATTGTTTTTCTGTTTTTTTTTTTCGTTTCCTTCCACACGCATATTTAAGAAACGGTTTATGATCGCGGGAGTATTGGCAAATTTGCGCAGCGACGCATTGTAATGTTTTTTCCATTGTTCGTTTCATCTATTTGCGCAAAGTACAGGCTCGCCGTCGTTACAGGCGCCGCGTAGGCGCCTACAGATCGCATGAGGACAACAGAGAAGGGAGAGGAAGGCGGGGGAGGGGGAGCGGATGTTATATAATGTATCAGTAATAAATAATATCACGGCCGCGTCCAAATTTCACACAGTTCGTAGTTTTCATGATCCGCCCGGCTACGGTCATTACGCCGCACATTTGCCGCGTAATAACTGGGAGAGAGGGGAGAGGGCAGTTAAAAATTTACCGCTCATGAATATTAACGTTTACGAGCGACTTCGTAATGTCCAGATACGCGCGAAGTTTTATCATGTCTCTTGCGGTCGCGATAACTTAGATCGTCGCTATGACGAATTTCTCGGACGAGACGAGGACGGGACGGGACGGACGAGTGAGTTTGCGCTCGCTAACTTGGTAGCTCGCGAAATTGCGAGACACGGGCGCCCACTCGTCGTGCATCGGCTTGCGCATTACAGGTAGTTTATAGGAAAGTGCGCATTCGCGCACAAAAGATGCCCGCGTATTACAGCGGATTGCTCGTAAAAAGAGAAATTCTGCTCCCCTCCTTATTCCCCTTTTCCATGAATCTCGTGTTTCCCCTCCTCCTTCCCCGTGGATTTCGCTAATATCGCGATTTAAAAATGAGAAAACAGCACGGAAACGATCCGGGAGATTATGATAGATGCACGACGCTTTCTATCCTTCCTTTCTCTGCGCACGCGATACGTTACACTTTTCTCGTGCTCATCTTTTAATGGTTAATTCACTTTAGCGGGGTGAGAAGAATGAAAGACGCCTGCTGGTGTCCCACTTAACTCTCGAGCATCACCAAGCGCTATTTTTACGATTTCCCCCTTATTGGCGTATCCGATGTCGCGTTGCGCGCATAAAAATGCGTTTGCGTGAACGAAGAATTTAAATTATTGCCTCTTATTGTTATTCGAATTTGTATGGCAGAAGTTTCTATTCCGAGCCTGCGATTCTATTCTTCTATTGATGCATGTGGCTTTAATATCAAGCTTTGAATCGGAATTTCACTTCCGATTTTTGATATTCTACTAAGGCGCCGCATATTACTGAGGCTTTCAACGAAACGGCTGGGCTTTAACGAGTGACTGGTTTCTCGTTGCAGAATTCTCGCGTGAATGACCTCATGGTCTGCCACGATGTCGCCGGCACTGTTATTGAAATGTAAGTACACGCCTCTTGTTCGATCCGCAACATTCTCAGCTACTTGTGGTGTACCTGATAGAAAATTCGCATTGCTTGCACAGGTGTCCTGGCGACGTGGCTGTTCGTCGCAGTAGGAGCCATCACCGTATCAATAGATCGCGCTGATGTTAAAGCTGTAAGTACAAGTCGCTTTCTCACATGCCCGACTAGAAATTTGTTCCCTGAAATTTGTACACTGAGAGAAAAATATGATTTATTCAATTAAAATTATAGTTATTTTTGTAGTAAAAATATAATAGTAACGCTATCATTTTTTATATTATCACTGACTATTACAGTAGAATTTAATTAAAATAATGTTTTTTTTTACCATAATTTATAGTAATTACTTCTCTGTGTGATTTTACAAATAACAAACATTTTGTTCTCAGTTTAGCTCTACAGACAAGAAATGATTGATGTATCGAAAATTATAGTTCCTTTTGTTCCAACTGTATTTTTTGGTTATTATTACCGCTAATATTATAGTAAAATTTAATGAAAAAATTCTTTCCTTCACCATGATTTATAGTAATTATTTCTTTATGTGAAAATGCCAAATGTTTTTCTTCAATATTATTAGGTTGATTCTAATCAGCTACTTGATTTGCATAAAGTGATGTGTGTTATCAAGTCCTAATTACTAATAAGGTTTTAATTATTAATAATTCTTATTATTACTAAAATTTTGACTGCCACACCGCATTACACGACTTACTAGAATTTGATAACAACATTTCATACAAATCAGGTAACTGATTGGGGGATCAACCTGATTAGAATAATAGAATAAATTTCCAGATGAGTTCATCGATTCTTTGAAGTTAATATCCCCTAAAATGGAATATCAAAGTGGTTCCTTCGAGAATGTTAAAAATGATGGAAAAAGTTTCCACGAAGTCTTTCAGGGACGCGGTGAAAAATTGAAATCTCACTGCTCGCGTTAGATCGAGTGGGTGGTCCGAATTTTTTACTCAAACTTTAATCACCGATATGTTTAATAATGTATATTGAATGTGAATCTTCCGGCGTATATTTCTTCCCTCTCAAAATCCGACAATAAATTCGATGCAGATGTCGATAAAATTTTGATTGGCGATTCCAAGGCAACCCGCGCGTATCTTTTATGCGCGTTTCATGTTTTATTTCGTACTTCATATATCTCCCGCTTGAATTTTATTGTTGCGTGAATCCCCGCGAGGACGAGCGTGAGTTCACTTTTTCTCTCCTCCGCCGTTTCGATCCGGTCGGCGTTCCGTGCGATTCGGAAACGTGCGAGGGCTCCGATTTATTGCCTTGGCAACGGAATAACTTAGGAACTGGAAGATAGTTCGCTGCACCGAGGCCTATTACGTTTCTTTTACGAGCACGACAATGCGCGCCCGTTCGTTCATCCGTCCGTTCGGAGGAGGTCGTTCCGAAACTATAGATTTTGATTTCCCCTTCGTTTACTGCGAGCCTTGAGCGCGCGCGCGCGACCAGAACATTGGATTTATCGAGTCGGAATAAACGGACCGAGGAAGTTATTTGGAAGTAGTATGTTGCCAAGGCCTCTCACGTTCTTATTTTCTGATTACACCTGGCTGGCGTTCGCCGTCGCTCGCCGTGATGGGGAGCGATAGTCTTACTTGCCATTTTGCTCGGACCGGCGCGGCGAAACTGGAACAGGAACCGTTCCATTAAGCTGTTTAGGAAGTTCGAGTGTCGCATTACCGTGGTTGTCGTTGCTTTGCGGTGCGAAGGAAAGTTGAGCCTGATGCTCTCCGTACACGGAGAGCGTACGTGGGAACTCCACCGCTAGCTACTTGTGCGCGATGAATTATTTCGACGACAGCGCGCTTCAAAGGAGAGTTTAGAGAATAAATGAAAACACGGGGAGGAGAAATAGCGGTGAAGCGAAAGAATGTCTGCGAAATGGCACACGTTAGCGCGAAATCACAAGTATCGTCGAAACCAAATACGAGCGAGACGATCGACATACATGTCGGAATCCTATCAATTTGATAACTGTTCTCGTTGTTGACTTTTGAAGCTTGAAATTCTTGCAAAGCATGTTGAAATAGAAAGACATGTCCGAAAAATGGCACTTGTGTGCCACTTTAAAATACTTATTTTCTGCATATTTTATTGTTTTGGGGTGTTTTATAAATCTGCTCGACCGCAATTGCAAGTGTCATTCTACATCTTTCGACTTCTTGTTCTTCTGCAGAATTTCGAGCGCGTATTTTCTCACTTCATCGATCGAGATAAATCCCACGTTAACACTTGAGTTCCCTTTTTGCAGCCACCCACGCGATCGTCGATGATCGCGAACGGATGGCGGCCGCTGACCAACTCGTACGAGGAGACGATCGGCACGAACGTGTCGCCGTCGAGCCACCTGGAGAAGAACGTGCAGGTGCACCCGGTGCTGAGCAAGTTCCAGGAGCACATGGCGACATCGGAGAAGCTGAAGCCGCCGCGCAAGGGCAAGCCGCCGATACACGAATACAGTCCGCCGAGCATACTCGGCAGCTTCAGCGTGTTCGGCCATGCGGCGACAAAGGCACGCGGCGAGACCAAAGCGCCGATAAAGCACGTGGCCTCAGAGACGCGGGAGTACACCTTCCTGATACCGCCGCCCAAGGACGCGTACCGCTTTGAGGTGAACCAACACCGCAAGCCGGTTCTGCGCGACAACACCAACTACCTGCGCCAACCGCAGCCGTATGTCGCGGCGCAGCCGGCGGCCGGCGTCCACCAGCAGCACCTGGAGCCGGTGCGCGCCGGCACTTACTTCATCAAAGGCTTCGCCACGAGCAATCGTCCCTACGTGCCACCGTACGCGATGCCGCAGGCGCTGCAGCCGCAGGCGCTGCAGCCGCCGCGCAGTCAACAAGCGAAGCCGTTCGAGTCGCTGAAGGTCGGCGGCAACGGGAAACCATACTTCCAACCGCCCGTCGCGGACGTGCCCGGTGAATTCGGCAACAAGCAGAAAGCCGGCAACGATCGCGACGCCTACGACAACCGGTACCAGGTGGTGACGCACAACGCGCAGATACTCAGCTCGGCGAGCAGCGGCAACTTCTACAGCCAAATCAATCACCCACCCAGCCACTTCAAGTCCACCTACGAGCGAGACCCCGCTTTCTTGGTGCACGAGAGCCACGAGGTGAGCTACGTCACGCCACCCGGCACGTACAACGGATACAACTTCAGGCCGTCCTTGCCGTACGAGACCTTGCTGCCGCCGGCAGTCTACACGTCCTCCTCGACGTCGGCGCCCTCCACCACCGCGGTCACGCGGAATCCCGGCCAGTACAGTCAGACGAGCGAGCCCACGACGCGGGAGCACGATTTCAAACGCACGGATCAGAGCACTAGGAACAAGCAGGACAAGACTGGCCACACCGAGCCGCCGAACTCACGCACCACCAGCACGTACTACGTGTCCGAGCATCAGGAACTCACGCCACCGTCCACGTGGCCGAAGAACAAGTACACGTCGGATATCAACGAGGTCCTGCCACGGGAGAACCCGCCGACTAAATTCAGCCAAGAGGTCGATAACCAGAATCAGATCGTTTACCGCAGACCGCACAATCCCTACGAGCCCGTCGAGGTTTACCCGCCGACGACCGTGAGCTATGAGACACCGGAGAGTATCTCGTTGAAGCACTTCAACGAGCAACAGTTCTTGCTGCAGCAACAGTTGCTGCAGCGCGATCGGGAGAGGCTGGCGGAGCAAGAGCGCCAGCAGAAGCTGGAGATCGAGAGACAGCAGCAGGAGGAGCTGAAGAAACGGCAGCAGGAACTGAATCAGCTTTTCCAACAAGAGAAGGAAGAGGAAGAGGCGGCCAGGCTGGCTGCCGAATCCGCGAAGAATCAGTCGCAGGAGCTCGTCAAGATCACGGGGGACATGCCGTATACGATTCAATTGGCGCAATTTGAACCGCAGGTTACCACGGGCTCCAGCATCCTGATCTCGCAGTCCGGTGTCTACAACGTCGAGCCGCTGAGGGTTCAGTCTCAGGTAACATTTTGTTTTGCGGAAAAAAACTGTGGATTTTACGCTCTGTTACGCGCCATTCTGCTTATGACGGCTGGAATCGCCAGTCGATCGTTTGCGGGGATCTTTAGCGATCATGAACAGACCGACGTCGATCGTACGTGAAAGGTGCCATTTAGTGCGGGTAATTACAAATGTCGACAATGAGTTCGGATTGCGGTACTCATGGATGTATGTTGCGAACGTTTCGGTCCACTTCGGACTGGAGCAGTGACGGAACTGCTGCAGCCATAAGAGAAACTCATCTATTTTGATTTTCTTCAAGTCTTATTCATCATATTGAATTTTAATTTAGAATTATACTTTAGGTTAAAATAAGTTAATGAATATTTGTTTCAAAGTTAATTATTTTTTTAGATAGTGTTTCTTATAGATCAAAGATACTACATTTTTCTTCGATAATAGTATTTGTCTGCTCTTAAATATATAAGTATATTCTGAAGGTCGAGACAAATTGACCGAAATAAGATTTTCCGCGACCATTTCTTGTGTATTGACAGGTTTTTTATGAAATGTAAAAAGATTCCAACCCGTCTGTCGCAGGTTCCGGAGAATCAAGTGAATTATCCATATCAGCAGCACTTCCAGAACGAGTACCAAGAGCAACAGGTCGACTATCGCGATCCTCAAACCGAGACCCGGCCATATCGTCCGCAGAAACCGTCACGTGACCCTCACCGTCGCAAAAAGCCATTGACCGTCGCATACGACATCACGCCGACGGAACCGCCGAGCCAACCCGTGGACACCTCCGTGCCCTTGACCCTACACGCGGAGGAAGTGCCCGTTCAAACAACCGTAGCACCGGAATCGCAAACTGTATCGGCGGTGACGACGCAAAAACCCAGGGTCCGCCGGCCAGGATCCTCGCACCGACGAAGGAAACCATCGACGACCACGCAGGAACCCGTCACCGTGTCGCATCAGGGGGAGGACTTCCTTAAATATAACCGAGGCGGCGAAGAAGTGCAAGCGAATCACTACGACTCGACCCGAAGAAGGCGCATCAAGCCGACTCAAGTGAGCTACACCGACGACGACACCGGCACAGACAAGAGAACCAATTCCAGGAAACGACCCAGTCATCGCACCAGAGTGAACCACCTGAGCGAGTCGTTCGACGCGGAAGCCGTCACCGAGAACGCGCACTCCTCGTTGTCCTCCCACGGACACGCCACGGAGGCGGTAACGGGCTACAACAACGAGAACAACCCGTTCGCGACCAACCAGCCGAGCGCCTCTTACGGCACAGGTCCGGCAGAGGAACAGTACAGTATCACAAATCAGCCGATCAATCAATATTACGACTACACGTCGCAGCTGAGCGAAGGATACCGCGAGAACCACCACGAAGACACCACCGCGCCAAGTGGAGTCCAAGTGGAGTACTACGGCACGGAGCTCAGTCGCGATAAAGCCGAAGACTACAACGTGGACTCGCGGCAGCAAAACCCGAGTATCGTCACCAACATACCGTTGGAGGAACTCTACGTGAGAACCGACGACGGCAATTATTACGACCGAGCGACCACAGTCGCGCCGACGACCACGACCACAACGACAGCGACGACGACGACGACGACCACCACCACCAGCACGACTACCACCACCCCGCAACCGACGACACAGAACGTGGTCTCCTCCACGCTGAGGTCCCACAAGACCCGTCCGTTGAGATACGGCAACGCCACCCGACCGCGCTTCAGCATCAAGGACTACAAGAGTCGCTTGGATTACAAGACCAGGCTGCAGCTTCAGAGCTCGACAACAGAGCTCGCGCCGACGCCCGCCGCGGAGGCGTCCACCCGAGCTCCTTACACCAAGCACAGGACATCGAGTGCGAGAAATCAGCAGCAGACTCAGCAGCCCGCCACTGCCGCCGAGCCCGTGAGGGAGACCACCGGTAGATACAAATACGTCTCCAGGATGAATTATCGAACCACCACGTCCGCCGCGCCTACGGCCGCCGCGAGGGAGCACGAGCAATTCCCCGAGGAGGGCGCGTCTTCGACGACCGAGAAGAGCAACAGGTTCGTGCCGAAGCGACGGCCGATCAGCAGCAACGTGTACCGCAGTAGGATCGCCTCCACCACGAGCAGTCCCACGCGTTCTCAACTGAACAGCGGTGAGAGCAGCGTGCGGCAAAGCTCGGCGCGGCCCGAGAACGTGTACTCGTCTTCGATACGGAGGCGGCCTGTTGCCAAGAGCCGACCGCATCATCCGCATAAGGAGACGGTAGCAGCCGCGGCGGCCGGTTCCGCGGAGCGACGACGGCAACAGGAGTCTACGGAGATGGCCGCTGAGGAAACCAGCTTCTACTCGGCCATAAGCACGACGGCCGCGACGACCACTCACCTCGTGGGCAACGAGATCGTCAGCGAGAAAGGGGAGGCTGTGGACGGCGATCTGGTGAAACTCGGGGTGCAGGAGAACGAGGGTAATCGACCTGAGACCATCATCAGCACCAGCGCTCCAAAAGACGAGAAGGGAGAGCAGGAGCTGGCGAGAGTGCAGTTGCCGGTCGAGACAAGCGGCGATCGGTATGGGGAAAGCCAAGTGCAACTGAAAGCGCCCGCCACCTCTGATGACGACGGGGGCAAGGTGTCGCGAAAAGAAGTGGAAACGGAATCCACGACCAAGTTCGACGTGAGCTCCGACGAGGAGGAGTTGTTCGCCAAGGCGTCGCAGAGCGTGGCGGATCTGACGAGCTCCGCTTCCGCTCTTTACGACAAGCCCGGCATGTTCAAAGCTGTCTCGCCGGAGAGCAGGGTCGTGCCGTCCGCGCACTTTAAGATCACCACAGACGAGCCGACCTTGCCGATCGAGGCGTTCTTTCAAGAGTTCACAAAGAAGAACTGACGGCCGGACTCTCTCGAGAAGGTCGGAGCGGAGCGAGATCATCTTTTAATTGTCGGCGAACCGCGTGTGATCGATAATCTCGGCCTGGACGCGCCACGTCCGGGAGATTCCAAGTTTCTCCGACAGACTCGAGGGCTTCCTCGGTAAAGCGATTAAGGCACGTCGGGGAGATTCGACACTTGTCGCGCTAGAATTTCCAGGAGATCGTCTTTCCGCCGGAGCGGACGGAAAGTACAGAAAGCAAAATCTTATGTCGCTTTCCCCGAAACGCTATCCGTTAAACGGTATCCGTGCCGATGACGTGGCCTTTCGGGCAACCAAGGAAGCTCACGTGTTATGTGCAACGTGATGGCTCACTTCCGCTCCTAAATTATTGTCATCGCGTTGTCACGTCCGCCGTGCGAAATCGAGAACGCCTCGGGACGCAGCGAGCACGTTTCCACGTACGCGGGTTCCGTCGTTTCATGCGCGCACACAGAAATACTCGAGATACTTAGGGAGAAACGATTCTTGACGAGCAGATATTATACCAAAAAAGCAAAACCGGGAAATGGAACACTCAAAAAAGTATAAATCTCGTCCTTAGCAGAAATCCTTTCATGTTATGATCTCAGGAGGATTTTTCTGAAATTAAAAGGAAAATGCGCCAACATCCAAAAACAGCTGCAAGGTGCTATTTTCTGTAATCCCATATTCTAAAGGGGAACTTTTGAAGAATATCCCTCTTCTAATGAAAAGGAATAAAATATTGTGCTTTAAATATTTTCTTCTTTTGTTTTTTTTTTGAGAAAAATCCTCTTTGAACCATATATAGAGGAGAAGATTCCATTAAGAATGAGATTATATTTTTCTGAGTGAACTAAAAAAATATAATTTTTTTTTTAGAGAAATTCTCTCATATATGGCCTCAAGAGAGTTTTTTTGAAACTAAATAGAAAATGTTCTAAGTACAATATTTTTAACGTTAAAAGAATTTCGCATTTTATTTAAAGCACAAGTCTTGTTGATAAAAAGTTCTTCTAGCAAACGTATACCGCTTCAAGTAAATATCCTTTTGATTTGAAAGAACAGAAATTAAAAGAAATATCTAGTAGATTATACACATATACATAATAATTTGTTTCATCAGAGGAAGGATACTCTATTAGCGAGAGTTTTTGCTTAAAACGCGAGATTACAAGAAGTAACGCTTTGCAATAAGATACTTTTTTAAATGTTAGAATATTTTTCTTGTAATTTCAGAAGAGTCCCTTTTGAGGCCACAATCCTCAGAGAATTTCTCTGAGGGTGACATTATATTTTTTTCTCGGGTGGAAACATGTGAAGTCCGCGAAGAAGCGCCGCTGCCCGACCAAGCGGCTTCGGAGGAGAGAGCAGTCGAGCTTTTTCTCGCGCCAGCAAAAGGGAGCTCGGTAGGACATCGCAGGATGTGCAATATTCGCGAGAAAGCATTCCGATCTACTCGTAATATTCTTCGTGTACGTCTCTTTTGTACCTTTATAAGCTAGATTAATCTCGCCAGAGGGAGAAGGGAGAAGCAGAGTAAGAGGAAGATACCAAAAGCAAATCTCGCGAATTATTTTAGCGGACGGTGTAATGTAACAACAACAACAACAACAACGGATTGTGAACTAACAATTAGGAAGGTCTCGTTTAGTGTAATTATTGCGAATCACACGCCATCGTATTTATTTCAAAGCGTGCGACGTCATTCTCTCGAAATCATTTCGCGCCTAATCTGCCGCGTAGTTTCCGTAATGTCGGAACTGCTTAACGCTAAGGAGATAACGAAACACAGGCGATGTACGTTCATTGTTCTTACCGTTATTTATGTACTCAATATAATCGTTTTGTACTGTAAAATGTAAATAAATACATCTCCAAATAAAAAAGGAACACCCGTGTACCTGGGAGGATTCTCAAACTTACCTCGTGACTGGACGGACCGGAGAGATTGAGGGACATCTCGAATAATAATAAGTCACACATACACGCACCCGCACACAGACACGCATACATATATATATCTATATATATACACGAGACACCACTGAGTTTGATTTAATAATTCGTTTAATATCGCTCAACCCTATATTCGAGTCACGGCGAATAGTTACATGGCGCGCATAATCGTGAACAAGTAAAATACTATTTCGAGATTCACAACGCAGGAGTAAAGTCCTCGAAGCGGCCCGCGAGCTCGTCGCGTGAATATTTGAAAGAGGCTACTTGGGGGATTGGAAAAAGGTACAAATTCCTGCTCTGCGCGATAAATATTTCGCAAGTTTCCATAATAAATCCTGCAACGTATCGTATGCCGGCGGAATCAGCTCGGCCGGCAAATCAGAATCTTTCCGGTGGGAAGGCAATCAGGGACGTCGAGTGGAGCGAATTACGTCGAATACGCAAAGATACGACTCGTACAATTAACGCATTGCATACGCGACGCACGAAGAGGTAGGAAAGACTCAAAATGGACTCTATGAGACGTCGTCGTGTGTTGCGGACACAAACTGATACTCTCCGTCTCGTGTATTCATTCTCGCACTAATTGCCGTTGATTAGAGAACGAGACAGTATTTTACCCGCCTCGATGGTCTTTGAAGTAATCCTCGATACACCGGAGTCGAGTCTCTATTCCCCTCGCTTTCTTTCCACCTCGCTGATTACATACGCATAAAAAGGAAAGTCCTAACGGATGATTACTTCGAAACGTACCTAATTTAGAATTATGCACAGGCCATACAGTTCACATTTATATGTTACCACCGACTATATCACGCGTATCTCGCGCGTCACACATTACGTATCTATATACCAATATGTATATATATATAATTTCTCCTCCATCACGCCGCTTGAAGTTTTGTGTATATCGTAAAACTCCATATAATTGACAGTTAAAGTGTTTTACAGTGTATAACTCGAGGTACACACAGGTCGCGTATGTACAATAGTATCAAACTATAAGATGACAGTAGGCACACGCACACTAAAATATATATATTATTATATATATTATTATTAGTGTATTATTATTATATATGTATATATATACACACACTATCTCTGCTGCAACTGCGCCGAGTGAGCAAGAAACATGGACATCGCGGCTAATTCTCACACGTATACATCGCACCCCTCGGCTATGGAACTCGCATCGATATCTCACAGAGAGGGGAGCGATAAAGCGGCCAACGGAACGGCAAAATTTCGCGCATCGACTCGGGTCCGTGTCGCGTGCGAGGGAAGTGTGCAAGTTAACCCGGAAATCTCGCGGAGATTCGCTGCGCGCGGAGTGTTAAAGGTGGGCTGTACTACTACCTCACGAATACGAGACGATTAAAGCTGATATCGACGAGAACGGAACAGACGCTCTTTGCGAACAGGAGTGACTTGAGAGAAGCGACCTAGACAGCACAAACTTCTAAGAGATGTCTCAAAGACAATGTTTAAAAGACATTCTGTTTTATTTAGACGTCTTCTTCAGAAGATGCCTGCTTCAGATGTCTTTTAAGGTCCACAATGACAGTCGTTACTTGAAACTTCTCTTAATAGTGAGGTACTCAGACTTGAGTTAGATAAAAGTTTCTCACTTGACTCGCGATTACAGATGTGAGGTAAAAGTATCGATGCCTTCTATATCGGAAGTTTAAATATTCGTATTTAACCCTTTTGGTGCCGACCGAAAAAAATGTATCTAAGCGTAAAATACCGTTTTTGAAGAGAAATTCAACCATTTATAACGTCTATAAAATTAGTTTTGAGACAGAGTTCTCTCGCGACGCGGATCGTCCGGCAGCATCATATGCGCAACGATATATCGTCGTTGGCACTTTTCGCAAGTTGCTAACAACGATATATCGTTGTTCGGCACTATAAGGGTTAAAAACCAAAACAACAAAAATGTCCAGAGTTAGGTATCAGTGTTATTATATATATGTACATATATTAATACTTACAAGTAAACCTACCTAAGTGTTACATTCCGATTTTGATAAGCTTTTAACATGCTGTAGTCTAAGTCTAAATAAGAGACACATATTGTTTTATACGTACCCATACGACTAGTAAGAGGGTGAAACACCCTTTTGCAAAAAATTGGTTTTAATGAGCGAATATTATCGGTAAATAATAAAAAGTTTCAAATAAAAGTTTTATGGGTTTTAATGGGCTTTATAACAATGCACTCAAATTTTTCGAAAATATCATTTATTTCGAAATCCCTTTTTTCCTCCTTAATTTTGTAAAATCTGAATAATATTGTTAAGCTCATAAAGCTCATTAAAACCCATAAAACTTTTATTCGAAACTTTTTTTGTATTATTTACCGTTCCGATAATATTCGCTCAGAAATGTTAAAACCGATTTTTTTCAAGAGAGTGTTTCATCCTCTTACCGGCCATATAAAACAATATGTGTCTCTTATTTAGACCTAGACTACAGCATGTTAAAAGCTTATCAAAATCAAACCATATTTATTCTAAACATATGTTCGGTATACTAAATTTTTCATATTATCAGTTACAAGTTTCGAATAAAATTAAAAGCCGTAGCGAGAATGCTGAAATATCAGAATTACAAGAGTACCACTTACGGCGACAGTTCGAACAGTCCGATGTCGCCGCATCTTAGAAGCTGACAGTTTGTGTCAGATGTCTGTTTAATGAATTTGTGTGGTTATTCTCTAACCTAAAGCGACTGAAATTGTCCTGTCAAATTGAGAAAAGATGAAAGAATATTTTGAAAGCAAAAAAAATATCAAGGTATGTACTTTTCGTTAATTCATGTATGTCACTAATCGGTATTAGAAAATTGATGCGTTCCTATTACTGACCACCGAAATAAATATGATATACAATCATATATCCCTATTTTTAAAGAGAACATATATTCTGTAAATCTTATTCATATAAAATTAATTTAAATTAAAATAATATCAATATTACACACATAATTTAAAATACTAAATCTAAAAATTAAAGTTAAAGTTGAAATTTATTACAGATACTGAAAAATAGATAAATCTTGAATAATGTGTATATAATAAATAAATAAATTTATTGTGTTAAATTTAATATAAGACAGATATTATTTTATGCACTACTTTATGTTTTTTAAAAATATAATAATATTAACAAGTTATAGTTTTTATAGTATTTGTCAGTCAGTCAGTAACAGTGTGGTAATAGGGCCGTTCGTATATTTATCGCCGATCAGTAATAGAGACATACATAAGTCATAAATTGGGACAGAATCAAACTGACTGGTCACTAAATGGTACTTTAGCCACTTTAAGAAAATATTTTAGATAAATTAAAATCTTAAGAAAATATTTTAGATAAATATTTTAGATAAATTAAAATCTTACCGCAAATAAGCACAATATAACATGATTAAAATCCCAAATGTTCAAGCTTTTCAACAAAATCAATTTTATGTATTTAGTTTAGCATTTATATTATTAATTTATCATTTCATTTTCACGATAAGCATACTTGGTCACTAATTGGGACATTCACCTTAATCAAACTAAAAATTTTAGATCTGAATAAAGGTCCGAGTGTCGCACATGAAACAGTTTCAAGTGGCAATTATTAATACGGTCCTAAGATGTCTTCTGGGCGTTTGTACTGTCTGGAATAGAACGACGACGTGGACTTGATCTTCGGATCGCTGTTGTCCGGCACCTCACGGGAGAGAGTCGCGATCTTCGCGACTAATTTCGCGGGTGTGTGGGGAAATCGCGATTTCTCGATCCGCTTGGCGCGCCGATCGGTACGCAATCCGCGGACACGCACACGCGCGTAATCGCGAGAGAGAGCGGAAAACGGACGAGTGCGGAGGTGTGCGTGTTACTTATTCGGCGGAAGTTGGAACATTAATCGTCCGAAAAGTTTGTCGTATCGTATCGTCCTCTGCGCTTTTGTCTCAACGGCGAGGGCCGTTAATGTTTTAGCGCGCGGCGGAGACAAAAGTGAACCGCGAAAGCCAACGTGTGAAACATGGAACTTAAAGACATACTCTCCTCTATATATACGCGTGTGCGTTTGTGTGTGTGTATGTGTGCGGCGCTCGTAAGATTAATTATTACTACGAGAGTAACGAGGAACATTAATGTAACGAAACGGAGATCACGTCCCGCAAGAGTTGTTCGTACGAACGCTTTTTACGTTCAATTATTTTCCGCTTTATCGGGCTGTTATTTGTCGCGAGGCGCGCGGGCGATCGCGTCTGTCGCGAGAATTTAACGTCGTCTGATTCACCTTGGCGAAAAACCGAAAAAAAAAAAACATCAAGCCGCTGATTGTGCCGAGTAGATTTTATTTATCTCCTTTTTTCACCCCCCAACATAGTTTCTCTCGATAAATCGTTGCGGTGCTTCATGCACACGCCGGCCGCGGAATATCGTCCGCGCGTCGTGCACAATCTTTGATTTATCGTCGGTGTTTTCGCATTTGTGCCTCTCAAATAAATGTATTTCCGTGCTTAATCTCAGTACTCCGCATTCAAGGTTTCGCCCCGTTCGACGGAATATAGGTGCATTATTTCTTCGTAATGCACGGTCGGCAGGCTCTAAAACGAGGACGACAGCTTAACCAGCTGGTAATGCCGTTCCCGCACCGAAAGAGCAGCGAGCGCGTAAACGAATCGAGCGCGTAAACGAATCGAGCGCGAAATGCGCCGTTTACTTTTGACATTTTGCGAAGGGTTCACAAAGGGAACGAAATCCGGCCGGTGCATTGAGAAGAAAAAGCAACTGGACCGGCAAGATCGACGGGTCAGCCGCCTTCAAAGACAATACTGTATCTATCGAACAAACTAAGGGTTAGTGCAACAAGTTGCGTTGATATAGTCACTGATCAAATCATAATCATTGAATCAACTGAGATAAC